ATAAAAAAAAAGCAACATCTATAATTTTATAATATAAGGTAACTCATTAAACCAGGAATTTCACAGAATTTTGAATTAACTGTAAATTACAATATAGCTGAGTTGGATTTTTCCCCCCAGTTTAGCTACTCTAACATTTGGAATTGACTCGTCTCAACAATGTCCAGCTAAGTAAATACAATTTTAAGAAGGTTTTTTTTACTCAACTCCGAAGTCCAGAAAATTATATCAGAATTATGATATTCAGACTAAAGCCAAATTGTGACTTCAGCTGAGTTGGATAATTTTTCCATATTAGTTATTTTCGCCCAAATACTACAGTTCAGATTAATTTAGCTAAAATTTTTGTTTTAGCAAATGACCCTGCAAGTTTTCAAAACTAGGTAAGCATTTTAGTTAATATTGAAAAAGTCCTCTAAATCAAATTTAAAGGAACAAACATTTTTTTAAATATTATTTTCAACAATTTAGTAGATATACCCCACAAAAAAACATATATGTATTTTTTTCTGCACATTTTCTTTGTGGGTATATGAAAAACAACAGTTTCGGAAAAGATGCAGACATGTTGTCTGCAGCCTTTGTGAGCCCTTCCAACTTTATTCAGCAAAGACCAGGGAATTCACCAATCAGAGGCTTCTCATTGTAAACCTCAATAGACAGCCTGGGAGGTGTTTCTGCCTGTAATATCTGGTTTGTGTTTTCTCAGTTTATTAAAGGACCACTCTAGGCACCCAGACCACTTCAGCTTAATGAAGTGGTCTGGGTGCCAGGTCCCTCTAGGATTAACCCATTTTTTTATAAACATAGCAGTTTCAGAGAAACTGCTATGTTTATAAATGGGTTAATCCATCCTCCAAATCCTCTAGTGGCTGTCTCATTGACAGCCACTAGAGGCGCTTGCGTGATTCTCACTGTGAAAATCACAGTGAGAAGACGCAAGCATCCATAGGAAAGCATTATGAATACTTTCCTATGAGACCGGCTGAATGCGCACGCAGCTCTTGCCGCGCATGCGCATTCAGCCGAATGGGAGGAGGAGGATCGGAGGAGGAGAGCTCCCCACCCAGCACTGGAGAAAGGTAAGTTTTACCCCTTTTCTCTCCCCAGAGCAGGGCGGGAGTGGGACCCTGAGTGTGGGGGCACCCTCAGGGCACTATAGCGGTCCTTTAAGTCTTTTATGTATATTTCTTCTTGGGTAAAAGGCTCGCAGTGTTAATATACGTCTATATTAACCAAAAATAATAATACGCAACCTGACTTCAGGTTTATTCTTAGTTACTGAAACATAATAAAACAACAAAGGATGTTACAGGATAATGGATGTTCAACAGCAGATGGTAATTACTGGACACCTGAAGGGAGAGTTTGAGTCTATATAGTTAGACAGCTGGACAAGAAGAACAACCTCGTGCAGCAAGCAACAGGCAACAGGAAGACCTTGTGGTCCTTCGTCCCCTATTCTATATAGCTATGACCATTATGACATCAGACATTTTAAAAATAACCCTAGGCGTATAAGCACAAGACCCCCAATTACCACATTCCAGAGTTCTCATGGTACAGCATAGCAAAGTACCATCTGTTCTTTTAGTCCCATTAGACATCCATGCCTACTATGAATATAAATATGAACATAGTAATATTCTACACTGCCACAATTATAAAATTGCCGATTTCTGATCAAATCTGTACTTTTATAAACTGTCAGGAAAAATGACAGATGCCAGACACATAAAGCACTTCAGCGAGCGTGTTTTCTTTTAATACGTTTCCGGTGTGCTCCAAGTTATGTTACTACATTTAAAATTGTATAACATGCCTCAATACATTTCACCTTTCTGAGCTGTATGTTAAGTCATTACAGAATATTCTTATAAATTTGTGTATAGCTTTCTTTTGTTAGAATTTGTTGTTAGTCATCATCAAATAGTTTTCCCCTTGAAGCTTACACTAATGTCTTGTTGATAAGCTTAAAACATCTATATTTATTGACCATGTTTGTCAATGTTTTATTGATGTTTATTGTTAACGTGGAAGAGTTTTGTTAACTATCTCCCCATCACGGAGAGCAGTGCTGGCTTTAGGCCTTCAGACGCCCCGTGAAATGTTTAGGAGAGACTCCTCCCTCCCACCATTCTTGACATTCTCAAACAAGCCTTTAGGCTGTCTGAGTGTCATGGGAATTGTATTTCACAAATATATTTAACCCCTTGGTGACCAGACCATTTTTCAATTTTCTTTCCGTTTCGGACCAGGGCTGTTTTTACATTTCTGCGGTGTTTGTGTTTAGCTGCAATTTTCCTCTTACTCATTTACTGTACCCACACATATTATAAACCGTGTTTCTCGCCATTAAATGTTTTTTTTTCTATAGATACCATTATTTCCATCATATAATTTACTATAAAAAAAAAATAATAAAATATTAGAGAGGCAGTCTTAGTCCTGCAATGTAAAAATTACAGTTTCACTATTGTTTTACATTGTAGGGTTAAGGGGACAGGGACACTGCACCCAGTCCACTTCAATGAGATGAAGTGCCCTAGATGCCCGTAGTGTCCCTTTAACCCCTTAAGGACACAACTTCTGGAATAAAAGGGAATCATGACGGAATATTTCCGTCATGTGTCCTTAAGGGGTTAAATAACAATTCAGTGAAATGTAACCTACCTATGGCAGAGATTTTGTGCCTGATTTGTCCCGTTAAGACAAAGACAGAAGCAATGTCGGTAAAAGAAAATGAATATAAATGTGTCTCTCTCCTGCTGTTCATCATTTACCTAGCCCCAAAGATAATGCTCATTTTATTTCATCCAAATAAAAATTGTATTAATATTTATCTGTCAAAAAAGCAATTTATAAATCTGATATGTTACTGTTAAAAACATAAACATATTATTGTAGATTTACATTAGGATAACCAGTCTGAGGGAGCAAAGGGCTGTAAATTCTGACCTGACACAGAATATAAAGCAAGCAGAAATCTAGCTGAAGGCTTTGCATAAACTAATTGATAGTGAAGGGAACTGCTGAAGGCAGCTTCCATCAAAGTCCCGTGTTAAGCCACAGATACAATCTGCAGAGTGGTTTGCAAGAGAGCAAAATCCAGAATTGCATCAGGGGATTATTTTGATTCAGTGAAAATGGGCATCACGGAATGTGGGCACAACAAGGAAACACAAAAAAAAACAACAACAGTGCTCAATCTAAAGAATATAAAAATGAATTGTGTTATTTTGCCCAAATTGAATGCATTTAATATGTTATTAATATATATAATATGTAACAATACAAAATGCTTTGTGCAAATTAATATATGAGCCGGGTTGTCTGTTTGTTGCAGTATTTCTCTGCACAGGTCCAAAAATATGGAATTCAATCGATACAAATAATTCTCTACATATTGCAGAGCCACATATTTTAAACAAGCTGAGCTGGAATTTTTTTTTTAAATGCAGTTTTAAATCTATCAATATTTGTTTAACAAAGTAAATGCATTAGATACTTTAGAATATTGCTTACATAAAAATACAGAAATAAAAAGTAAAGTCAATAATGGAGTAGCTTCCGCTGTACCTATACACATTAGACAAGACGACTCCATCAATCTCCTGTAAGAAACATCAATAGATATCTCTGAATACAAAATAAATAAATCAAGCAATGATATATTCATAATGACTTCTGTATGATGATCTACGGTGATTGCCAAGTAATGAATATTATATCCGTGCCAAATAGAAACACATTGATTAACCGCAAGTAAGTAATCATTGTTTGTGAAGTCAAATCGATAGACATCTCCTTGCTCTTGAGCTTTCAATCAAAATGTAAGGACTTTTCAGGCACCTGGTAAACTTTGAAGCTTAGTAAAACGTGCAAATAAAATCTGGCAAAATCTTCCAAGTGCCAGACGTGTGAGATGATGCCTACTTTGTAACTTTCATGCATTGCACATTGCTTTGCTCTCATCCCCGTCCTTTCTTTTTGCTCTCTTTTGGCTCTCTCCGTGTTGTCTTTCTTAACGTGCATTTGATATACACCTCATATTAGCCCACACATCCTACAGCCAACTGCTTGTATCCCAGCTCCTTATAATAAACCCAGGCAGCTCTGCAGAAGGACTGTGAGAATTGGGCACGTGAGGGATATAGAGGTAGACAGGTGGTGCAGAGGTGCACCTAATCCATCCTGATACAAATAATTTAGATATTTAATACTTTTATTTATTTAACTGAGAGCCAATAGTCTTGTATCATGGTGGAAGCTGGAATGAGAGAAGAATAATTAGCAACTTATTTTGCAAGCATAGCTAGATTTCATATGGCTGGTAGACATGTGCAATTTGTTTTGTTCCAATTGTAAATTCGGACAAATTTCGGCAAGTGCTGAACTGAACCAAATTGCCGAAGTGCAGAATTGGCGAATTGCAGCATTTCAGAAGTGCCGAAGTGCTTTGGATTTCTGAAAAGTGGCAAAACAAGAAAGGGAGGGAAAATTAAGGGAATGAGGACAGGAATCTAGACCAATAAGCTAATTCCTGGCAAAGGGAGCCCTAAAGATGTGTAAGTGGTTGTGATGGCAGTCCGGGCACCTTAACTCCACCCCTACTCCTACCATTAAACCTACCCCTACCCCTAACCTTACCCCAACCCTACCCTACCCGTACCTCTACTACTACTTCTAAACCTACCCCTAACCCTAGCTCTAACCCTACCCCTACCCTAACCCTACCTCGGTTATCATTTTAACTATAGGTGACTTGAATCAACTAGGTAAAGGCAGGCTGTTACAATGTGTCCTTTTACAATGCTTAGCACATAACCAACTTGGACATTATTCTTCAACAGTCCAGACATCAGACAAGTCACTAACCAGTTAATCACAAGTCAGACTAATGTCCCTAAGTCATATTCAATGATAAAAAATAATGTAAAAAAAATTCCAGAGTCATGAGAACAAAGAAAAAAGCTTATATATGTTTTGCAATCAAATGCCTTTATTTCAAATAATTGCAAATCTATATAAATCAAGGTCTTAATATTTAACAGTGTGCAAAATTCTCAAAATAACTGGTTTATTGTACCCCAAACCATATGCTTAGTGTTCACAGTTAAAATCTTCATAGAATAACAATGCAAAATGTACAATCTTTACAATTAATGGATATACACTGCACTGAAATTACATACTTCATTAATTGTCAGGTGTTACATAAAACAAAAAAAAAACAACGACAGATGTCTGCAAAAAAACATGTTAGATGAAAATATGTTTCATAAAATTGTTAAAATAATGGAAATATCATTGTTACTGACTTTTACAAAGCTGAACTTTTCAGAAAAGAGTTTTATTACGCTTTAAAAAAATATACAACACAGTCGAAAAGGTAGCTGTCTCTTTCAATAACTTAAATTATGGAACTGAATCACAAACCAGGTATTGTGAGGAAATGAAAAGGGCTTCGTAAACGTCAGGCCAAAATAATCAGCTTCTCAAAGATATTCCATAGCTTAGATATTTAATAACATTGTCAGAAATTCTAACTAAATTTAAACCTTCATGCCCAGACCTCAGAACTGAAATCAGTTATTGTGGAAAATTCAGTTTGAAATTCACTTCCAATTCACAATTTCACTTTAGAAAACACCCCTGTTTGGTCAATGTTCCAATCACAATATACAGTTACAGTGGATTTTTAGAAAATCAGTTAAAGGATCACTCTAGGCACCCAGACCACTTCAGCTTAATGAAGTGGTCTGGGTGCCAGGTCCAGCTAGGGTTAACCCATTTTTTCATAAACATAGCAGTTTCAGAGAAACTGCTATGTTTATGAATGGGTTAAGCCTTCCCCCATTCCCTCTAGTGGCTGTCTCATTGACAGCCGCTAGAGGCACTTGCGTGCTTCTCACTGTGATTTTCACAGTGAGAGCACGCCAGCGTCCATAGGAAAGCATTATGAATGCTTTCCTATGTGACCGGCTGAATGCGCGCGCAGCTCTTGCCGCGCGTGCGCATTCAGCCGACTGGGAGGAGAAGAGGAGGATCGGAGGAGGAGAGCTCCCCGCCCAGCGCTGGAAAAAGGTAAGTTTAAACCCCTTTCCCCCTTCCAGAGCCAGGTGGGAGGGGGTCCCTGAGGGTGGGGGCACCCTCAGGGCACTATAGTGCCAGGAAAACGAGTATGTTTTCCTGGCACTATAGTGGTCCTTTAAACAAGTATTAAATGAAGTGTCAATTATTGCATTCATATTGTCTGATTGGTTGTGATTTTTTTATGTTAATATACTGTAACGAAGTATTATTTGTTTATTTTCTTTATTGTTATAACTTTTACAATAATCCAATATGTAAATATGTTAGAATAAAACATATAACTAGTTTTAATAAATGCATTTGTTGGTAAAATTGACAAACACATGACAAGTGTATCATAAAACAATTCAAGACACAATCATTTTATTTGCTCTATTTTAACATATAAGATAAAACATATTTAGTGGAAATGTACTAACCAGCTTCATCTAAAAAAATAGTCATAAATAGGAATGACGTGTGAAAAAAATGCAATATTAATTATTTTGGTTTACTTGTACTTTAACCCCTTAAGGATCAAACTTCTGGAATAAAAGGGAATCATGACATGTCACACATGTCATGTGTCCTTAAGGGGTTAACTGACAAAACTCAATACAACACTATTGTGAAACGTAGGTGTAAGCTGAGCTTCGGCAAGCTGTAAAAATAGCTACCGGTGGCTTCCAGTATAGTGATGTGTGATGTCACTATAGCCCGAGATGCAAGGTGTGCTTAGCTGTCGCATGTACTCTGAGCCAGTGAAACGGTCCAATCAAATGATTCTTTGTGAGAAGCATTTGATTTGACCATGCGGGGCCCTTGGTGGTCTAAGAAGAAGCGTGGAGAACAGCGCCGGGGAGCTTCGCAAAGCACTGGATTTCAGGTAAGTTGAACAGTCTTGTTTTTCTGGTTTTAAAGGGGGAATGCCAAATAAAAATAAAATAAATATATATGTTCAATTAAATGTGAAATTCACTTTGAATGCTTACTTTAGTCTATAACCTATGAATGAAATTTAATGATGAAATTATTTACTTGCATAAATACTTCTCCTTTGCAGTGATAACTATTTATACAAATACTATAACGCCAATTAAACTTTCTGTCTGCTAGAATTATATAAGAAAACACATTTAGACGTTTGTTCAAAACATTGAAAATCCCCTATAACTCGTGTTAACCTTTTTTTCATGAGATACTATATTTTATTTTATTTTGTATTCATATTAACAATTTCACTAATTACATCATAATTCACTTCAGACAAGGCACAGCCAGGGCAAACAATACAATAGAAGAGGAATGATTTTTTCTTAATATCTCCTCTTCTCTGTATGATCTCTCTATGCTGACTGCCAGCAAAGGACAGAGTTTATACAATGATTGACACGGAGCCAAGATGGAGATGCCCACTTTGCAGGATAAAGAGGTGTGGATTTCTACAGTTAATTTTACTTTGCACATCTCACACATATATATTATTAAACATAGGGATAAATAACATAATATTTAACATTCTGAGAAGTGATACTTCTACTAGTCATTTTTCATTGTAAAAGCTAAAAAAGATACAATCATCATCTACTATCTTAAAGGGACACTCTGCACCCCTAAAGAACTTTAGCTTCACAAAATGCTTTATGTGTAAAGAGCGTGTCCTCTTTTTTTCATTTGACAAAAAGTGCAGATTTTAATAGAAATTGGCGCTTTATATAATTAACCTTTTTACACCCCTATGGCTGTCAATCAGACAACAAGTCCTGTTACTTCCTGGTCTGTTTTATTCAATAGAGCTAAACTCAAGAGGCAGCAATTGCACTACTCATTGAGCTGTATTGGGAAGTCTGTGATTGGACAGTCACAGAAAGTCTGGGCTGGGGAAGAAGGGCAGGGCTTGCAAAGGCTGCAGACAAGAGATCTGATGGTTTTGTAAGCTGTTTTAGGTATACACCCAATGAAAAGATGAAGATGTATGATTACATACATAGATGTTTTTGTTGGGGATTTGTCTACTAAACCTTTTTAATAATTTGTTTTGTGTGTATTTGGGCAGTGGAGTGGTCCTTAAATATATATGTGTTGTATGTTTAAAACACATTGATTTTAGATAGTGATAGGTACTCTGAAAGATGTAGGGAGATGTAATAAATATTTATACAAAATATTGATGTTTAGAAAATATCCACAAACCAAACAGCTTTCAGTCTTTTGACTTATTACATCTCCAGCACTCAGAAAAGACATTATTTTCCTGTTGTATCCATTTTAAATGATATCATATAATACAGGGGTTCCCAACCCAGTCCTCAAGTACCCCCTATCAGTCAAGGATTTAGGGATCACCCTGTTGTGCCTAAAGTGTTGTTTTTTTTTTCTAAAAACACCTTATACACAACTGGGTAATCCCTAAGTCCTGGACAGTTAGGAGGTACTTGAGGACTGGGTTGGGAACCACTGATATGAGCACAGTGAGCACATTCTCCTGTATATAACTGATCTAACAAGAAAGAACAAAGCAGGGGATTGTATCCTTTTCTGCAATAGTTTGAGTCCTTAGAAGTGTTCTCTTTATGCTAAAATAACTTAATAATAATTTTATTTAATAAACTCTAAAACAAAAAATGCACTCAGGGACAAAACTATTCAAATTGAATTGTAAGATGACAGTAGCCATATCACCGCATCTATCAGCTTACCCATAGTTTAGTTCACTGTGAATCGGGTTAGGTGCCGTAATCAGCAGATCCACCGTTTGCGCATGCATGGACTATAGTTTGTCTCTCCCTGGACAAGAAAGTTCAGCTCAGTCCAGAAGCCACTCACAAAACGTGGATAAAACTGACGTTGAGCAGCGTGAACCATACTATTTGACTGACAGCTCTGAGGGCCTGTCTTAGAGCGATTTTCACAAATTATTATTATTAATTGGCATTTATGTTGTGCTAACATACACTGTACAATATAGGCAATGTAGACAAATAATGAATGTGTATCGCTACAAAAGGAACAGAAGACCCTACTTGAGAGTTTACAAAATAGCAAATATGGTACTTTTCTACTAAGTGATTAGCCAGATAACTCAGGAGCTAACAATTTAAGGGATCACTGCAGTTCCAGGGCTGTAATCTTAGGGGGATATATGTACCATGATCTTTGCAAAAGCCTGCAATCTTTGCAAGGTTGTAATGGTGTTTAGAATTACCCTCTAAAAATAAATAAAGAGTCAATTATATTCTATTGCAATTGCTCCAGCTTACGAACTCTGACGCATGAATAAAATTGTTAAAATGCTATCAATAGTTTAAGGGTTCATGTCTTTAAACAACTCTCCAATGCAGTTCATAAATGAACGTTATATATAGATCCTGCAGCCAAGTTCTTAAATAAATTGCTTATTATAATATGCCATAGACATGTGCAATTATGGGCACGGGGCTCCCAGTGCCCGGACTGCCACCAAAACCACTTACACATCTATAGGGCTCCTAGTGCCAGGACGTTCACCACAACCACTTACACATCTGTAGGGCTCCCAGTGCCCAGACTGCCACCACAACCACTTACACATCTATTGGGCTCCCAGTGCCAGGATTGCCACCACAACCACTTACACATCTATAGGGCTCCCTGTGCCTGGACTGCCACCACAACCACTTACTAGACATGTGCAATTCGTTTCATGCAATTCGGATGCTTACGAATGTCCAAAGCGCCGAAGTTCTGAATTACCAAAGCTACGAATTACCAAAGTTCCGAATTGCTGAAGTTCGGTAGTTCGGAAGTGCCGAACCAAATCGAATGCCATTGGTCCGAATTGCTAAAGCAGACAAATTATTTTACTTACCCGAAATTTCCGAATGGAACCACATTTTTGGCCCATACACATCGCTAATATGCTAAAAGCAGGAAATAAACTTTATTGACCAAAAACGTTTAAATCTAGGACTTCAACAAATATTTTAATTGTTTCAGGACTGCCTTAAATGTAATAAAATCATATTTGTCGAACACTATTTTTAGAAAAACAATTCATATAACAAGTGCCACATAGTATTTGATCATGTGTATGCTATTTAATATATGATTATAGATGGTTTATTCCAAATGAAAATACAAGTAGAGGGTAATATTACCGATATAGCACACCAAATACTTTATTTCTCATTAAAATATACCTAATGGAGTTGTTAAAATATGAAGCAATTAATTAAAAATGTATTACTGAATGAAAGCCGTCAATATCTACTATTCAATAAGCCTTTTTTAGGAAACTATGCTTTTTTTCACCGGAAACATATAAAATATATGAATTTGATCACAAGCATCCAATGTTGTCAAAAGACTACACAATACATTAAACACTGGAATAAGTCATTTTACATTGAAAGTGGAGTCAATGACTTTATAAAAGTATGCAACAAATGTTGATGATATGGGGGACGATATGATTAAAACATGCACTGCAAAAGATGTACAAACCCCACTTTGTTAACCTTGAAGTCTAAATATTAAAGTGATCTATGAGCCACATTTTGGTAGTTGTATATAATGCATACAAATTCTACTGTGCTACATTTTTTAGCATACGAACAGCTTTTTAAAAAGTTTTACACCCCTATAGAAACTCCACAGAAATATTGACTAAACAGTGATTCCAAAAACTTGCCCCATTCCCAATAACAAAATCTTTAATGATGAGGTGAGGAATGAAAAATGTTAAAACAGACGTGATGGATTTGGGAAGAAAGTGTTACTTACAAAGTGTATAATGTCAATTCGCAATCCCAGATTGTTGTTTATAAAGGTCCAGTTGATTACATTTTTTACATGCTAACCTCACAAACAACCATTTCTCATGTTTTAAAATCATTTACAAGTATGTGACATTTGCAGAATTTTTTTTTTTTTTGCTCTTCCAAATAATTTTTTAAAGGCAGGCTCAATTGATTTGTTTTAATAACAAAATGTCAGTTTTTTGAAAGAAATGCATGAGTTCGAAAAACAAGGAATGTAAAATGATCAGGTGTATTGACAAATGAAATGAATTCACTTGTACAGAGATGCTACTAATTTCAAGATAAAATCATTTATTGCCTATGTAGAAAATTATCCTGCCTCTTAAGAGGCAGCATTTTAAACCAGTAACTTTTACATTACATGCACCAGCTTTTACATCGAAGTATTTAATACATTGCAACTGGAGCAATGATCATATCAACCCTTAAAATGACATGGGCAACAATGCTTACAAGAAAGGCAAAATCACAGCACAGTTTAAAAAAAAAAAAAAAATGAAATTTGAAACAGATTATTGAGTTAAAAAATCTATAAAGTGTAGGCAATTTTGTTAGTTTAAAAAAATGAGATGTGCAAATCTATCCCAGAAAGATGTGTGTACATAATGAATAATTGTAAAAATCACAGCGGTATGAAACATGTGCACATTATATACAGGTCTGTTTAAGTGCACTCTAGTAATAGTGTCAAAACTGAGTCAACATAGCATACATTTTTGGAGAGCCACTATTTAAAATCTTATTGGAAAACACAATTTAAAAATGTATTTTTTGTTTACATTTATGGATAATTTATCTGCTGCGTAAATAAGTAAAAGAAGCTTTAATCTACACGGTAAAATATTGTTAGAAAGAGCATGACATTTGTTAAGGGCCACCCACTGGACATGAATTCAGAAATTTCATTTAAATCATGTTATGAATATCAATAAATCTAAAAAGTACATGTCCAATGTCATTAGATATCTATCGAACAATATGCACAGTACTTAACAAATTAAAATTTAAATAAAACAAAACAAAAAATGCAAACAAAAAAGGTAATACAGCACAAATAATATGTGATGTTTAAAAAAAAACAAATTGATGTTAGCATCCACTTTTGACCAAAAATGTATTCTTAATTAAAAAAACTAAAATATATTAAATTTCTAAATTATGAATGTTAAAAAAATAACATAATAGTTACAATATTGAATTTCAGTGCAAACCAACTTACCATGTAATAAACCTACCTAGTTTAAAAGATAATGTTTTAAAAAAGTCACCAAATGTGAATATATATAGATATGTATATATATATATATATATAGAAAAGAAAACTAGCAACAAGCTAATTAAGGTGCAGAAACAAGTTAAATGTTTCCTGGAAACATACCCTGTTAGTTTTACGACATCATAATAATAAAATTCTATTTTCACAAATTTATTGTTTAATAATAATAATAAAAAAATGTGAACTAATACATTTCAAATGTATGTGACAGAGTGGTTCACGAGTATATTGAAAATTAGATTTTCAACAATGGGTACCAACAGAGGCAAACGTGGACATTTCACGACGTATCGTACTGAAAGGGGAAAGTTCTAGTTCTGTTGTATATTCATTGTCATTGTCATCACTGGTTGCAGTTGAGGACTTCTGAATGCATTCATCACAACAGCAACAACAGCATTCCACGAACGCTCTACTGAAAGGCTTGCAAAGGCAAAAGAGCAGAACCGGGGTAACACATGATTTAAAAAACAAAAGAAACTGACTAATGAGATGAAGAAGATCTAAAGTCTGCCTGGTGACCCCAGTGGACATGTAAGCTGTTACGATGTTACAGATATTTTCAGGTATAATGCAAAAGCCGTACAAGATGGTCAAAGCTACGACTGTGCAGTTCATCTGACTTTCAAGCTGGATCTGCCTTTTGTTTCCTCTTGTGCAAGCTTTCTCTGCTTTCCTTATCTTTCTCGCTGTCACTAGGGAGCAGGTGATTGTGAAAAGAGTGGGTAAACAAAAATAACATCCAAAGTACCACCAAAGCCTCGCACCATCATAAGTGAGAGCTAGAACGTAAATGGTATCAGGAAGATCCGTGGAGATTTTAACGACACAGCGCTCACTCAGGGTATTGGCATTGAGTGCCGACTCGTCCTTCGATAACTGACGAAGGACAACTTCAGGCAATGCTAGAAGGAGGGCACCCACCCATATCACAGCAAGCTTGGCAGTCGTCGATGTGCAGTTCTCAATCATTTCGTAATACATCTGTACGTTGGTAGCAGCTCGGAATCGGTCAATGCACAGAGCGCACAATGTGAAAGTCGTTACCCCAAGGGAAGCAACCTACAAGAAACAAACAAATGCAAGGGTCATTGTAGCAAACTAATAAATAGTTATCACGAAACATTGATTATACCTGTATTTTTTTTGTAAAATTAAATAAAAAACAGCAAGTAAATCCTCTGTGTGCAACTTTTCATGGATCATAAATCCACAAAACTTGACAAAATAGGTGGACCTACCATCATCAAGTTTCCTCACTTCCCACAACCATCACTAGCAATGGCTGTGCAAATAAGGCAATATCGCTCAAGACACAGTTATCTATAGAGGCTCCCCCGGCCTCGCTTGGTCCACCATAGACATCAGTATTGTACTAATGCACATGTGCGAGAATACAGCACTGATGTGGGCTCCTGGTGGGTAAAGCACCAGAAGCTGAGGATAAAAAATGGTTGGCGCTTATAGGGGACAACATTAGATAAGTAAAACTCCCTAGAACATGCAAAAACCCTATAATTGAGTCAAAACTGGGTAACTCAATTATCTCTCAGGTACAGGAAAATATATAACACATATATATATAAAACACCCCAAAAACATAGTCATAATTCACAGGAACCCCACAATTCGTATATCCCTGAATAGCTCTGATCTGAGCACCCAATATATCCAAATGGTGCTCAGATCGTTTCAGCAGAATGGAATCACCATTCAGGTAAAACAGTGTGTGTGTGTGCCAATGACAGTGTGTCTGTCAATGAGTGTATGTGTATCAGTGAGGGCGTGTGTCTGTCAGTCAAAGCGTGTGCTGGTGCTAAACAGGAAGAGGTGCAAGAGGTTCACCACTTCCTGGCAATTACTTGCCAGGAAGTGGTGGGATAAATTTAGATTAGGGGGTGCCTGAGTTTAGTCATGTCTAGAATAGCATAAAATAAAAATACACAGCTGGATATGCATAGCCCCTTAGTTGTAAAAATACTCATATCAGGTATACCAGTGCCCCCCTCCTCTAAGCAGTGCATATAGAAACATAGAATGTGATGGATAAGAACCATTCGGCCCATCTAGTCTGCCCAATTTTCTAAATACTTTCATTAGTCCCTGGCCTTATCGTATAGCTAGGATAGCCTTATGCCTATCCCACACATGCTTAAATTCCCTCACTGTGTTAACCTCTACCACTTCAGCTGGAAGGCTATTCCATGCGTCCACTACCGTCTCAGTAAAGTAATACTTTCTGATATTATTTTTAACCTCTGCCCCTCTAATTTAAGGCTATGTCCTCTTGTTTTGGTAGTTTTTCTTCTTTTAAATATAGTCTCCTCCTTTACTGTGTTGATTCCCTTTATATATTTAAATGTTTCTATCATATCCCCCCTGTCTCGTCTTTCCTCCAAGCTATACATGTTAAGTTTCTTTAACCTTTCCTTGTAAGTTTTATCCTGCAATCCATGAACCAGTTTAGTAGCCCTTCTCTGAACACTCTCTAAAGTATCAATATCCTTCTGAAGATACGGTCTCCAGTACTGCGTACAATACTCCAAGTGAGGTCTCACCAGTGTTCTGTACAATGGCATGAGCACTTCCCTCTTTCTACTGCTAATACTTTTTCCTATACAACCAAGTATTCTGCTAGCATCTAGTAGCTGTAACACTGACATCCACTAGAGGCCCCTCGAGTACAGTGCCATGTTTAACTATGAGTAGCGTTGTAAGTGCATAGTGCTTGCCACTTATGCGCCTCAGGTCCCTAATGCTCCTGTATGAGGAATATTGGATTGGATCAGCATTCCCCATCAGTGTCATTGAGGGAGGTAAGGAGGCAAGCAGTGCAGGGGAGTCTTGGTGCTTGAAAAAGGTAAACGTAAGTAGACACCACAGCCCTTTTTTTTATATAGAGACACTGTAGTATTCGGAATACAGGTTTATATTCCTAACACTATATTGTTCCTGTAACAGTATTTACAGGGAGTGCAGAATTATTAGGCAAGTTGTATTTTTGAGGATTAATTTTATTATTGAACAACAACCATGTTCTCAATGAACCCAAAAAACTCATTAATATCAAAGCTGAATATTTTTGGAAGTAGTTTTTAGTTTGTTTTTAGTTTTAGCTATGTTAGGGGGATATCTGTGTGTGCAGGTGACTATTACTGTGCATAATTATTAGGCAACTTAACAAAAAACAAATATATACCCATTTCAATTATTTATTATTACCAGTGAAACCAATATAACATCTCAACATTCACAAATATACATTTCTGACATTCAAAAACAAAACAAAAACAAATCAGTGACCAATATAGCCACCTTTCTTTGCAAGGACACTCAAAAGCCTGCCATCCATGGATTCTGTCAGTGTTTTGATCTGTTCACCATCAACATTGCGTGCAGCAGCAACCACAGCCTCCCAGACACTGTTCAGAGAGGTGTACTGTTTTCCCTCCTTGTAAATCTCACATTTGATGATGGACCACAGGTTCTCAATGGGGTTCAGATCAGGTGAACAAGGAGGCCATGTCATTAGATTTTCTTCTTTTATACCCTTTCTTGCCAGCCACGCTGTGGAGTACTTGGACGCGTGTGATGGAGCATTGTCCTGCATGAAAATCATGTTTTTCTTGAAGGATGCAGACTTCTTCCTGTACCACTGCTTGAAGAAGGTGTCTTCCAGGAACTGGCAGTAGGACTGGGAGTTGAGCTTGACTCCATCCTCAACCCGAAAAGGCCCCACAAGCTCATCTTTGATGATACCAGCCCAAACCAGTACTCCACCTCCACCTTGCTGGCGTCTGAGTCGGACTGGAGCTCTCTGCCCTTTACCAATCCAGCCACGGGCCCATCCATCTGGCCCATCAAGACTCACTCTCATTTCATCAGTCCATAAAACCTTAGAAAAATCAGTCTTGAGATATTTCTTGGCCCAGTCTTGACGTTTCAGCTTGTGTGTCTTGTTCAGTGGTGGTCGTCTTTCAGCCTTTCTTACCTTGGCCATGTCTCTGAGTATTGCACACCTTGTGCTTTTGGGCACTCCAGTGATGTTGCAGCTCTGAAATATGGCCAAACTGGTGGCAAGTGGCATCGTGGCAGCTGCACGCTTGACTTTTCTCAGTTCATGGGCAGTTATTTTGCGCCTTGGTTTTTCCACACGCTTCTTGCGACCCTGTTGACTATTTTGAATGAAACGCTTGATTGTTCGATGATCACGCTTCAGAAGCTTTGCAATTTTAAGAGTGCTGCATCCCTCTGCAAGATATCTCACTATTTTTGACTTTTCTGAGCCTGTCAAGTCCTTCTTTTGACCCATTTTGCCAAAGGAAAGGAAGTTGCCTAATAATTATGCACACCTGATATAGGGTGTTGATGTCATTAGACCACACCCCTTCTCATTACAGAGATGCACATCACCTAATATGCTTAATTGGTAGTAGGCTTTCGAGCCTATACAGCTTGGAGTAAGACAACATGCATAAAGAGGATGATGTGGTCAAAATACTCATTTGCCTAATAATTCTGCACTCCCTGTATTTTCTTATTTTTATTAAAATAGTCCGTTCTGCCCAAATGCAATCACTGATACATACATACACACACTCGTTCACTCACTCACACTCAATGGTCCACACGATCACAATCAGTGACCAATGCACACTCAAAGTGATGCAGAGTGACACACACTGACTCAAGCATACATCCACTGATTCATGTAGACTGACAAACACACACTGACCCAAGCAGACACACACACTGGCCCAAGCACACACACACACACAAACACTGGCCCAAGCGCACACACACACTGACATATGCAGACTGACACACAGACATACACACTAACCCATGCAGACACACTGAACAAAGCAGACACAGAATGACTCAAGTAGACACACACACTGACTCAAGCAGACACACTGATCAAAGCAGACACACCTTGACTCAAGCAGACACACACACTGACCCAAGCAGACAGAAACATTCTTACTGAAGCAGCCTGACACACATTCTTTAAAACACGCACTATGAAGTCCTACTCTTGCCTTTATTTCATATTGGTTCTTCATGTGCCCCAGGCTTCTGGACTGTGCCTGGCTGCCTTGCTGCCTATATCATCCTCCCGCCCACTTGACCCAAGTACAGGGCAATAAGTGTGAGCGATGGAATGATGTGGGGGTGCCTGGCTCTCTGTGATCTTTGCAGGCCACAGGACATGCCAATGGGCGCTAGCCCGTAAGTGCATGTAAGTGCTCTATAGCACCTGATACCAGGGCCTGCGGCACACAATTCATAATTAGGCTGAAAAGAGACGCGACCATCAAGGTCAGCCTTCCCCACATCTGTTTTTTTGCTGTTGATCCAAGCTATTACCAGCCTATGTAACTAAAATGATAAAATATTACACAGTTATTAAAAGTTAAATTATCCTGCTGTCTGCGATTTTAATAGTAAAAATAAAGAAACAATATATTTTTTTTAATAATACCCATCAGCGGATAGCATGGATTAATAAACACATACAAATTATACATAGGAAACTGAACTGCTGATCTCACTCTGTGATTACGCTACAGTTTGCTTATCTCCTTGTTTTCACTCCTAATGAATTTACATAATCAGCGAGTGATTTTGAGCACTTTAGTAAATACTAACAGACTAATGAATTCATTGTAAATTATTCTGCTACCATTGTGTGAGACAATAAGGGCTAGATTGTGTTTAGTTATAAACAGTGTCTACTGGATGCTTAGCATTATCTTGCTTTAATTTTAACCCCTTCACTAATAATTATTTTGTGAAAAACAAAAAGTAGCCTTTATTCGTAATAAAGAATTATGTTAATGGAACAGTTTGATACATTGGCTGTGTTTATATTAGGGATAGTTAAACAATTATCTAAATTTGGAAAGTTTACATTTTTAATTTCTGTTCTTTGTTGAAGTACTGGGAGCATAATGTCTGAGAAACTACTGTATCCCTTTTACTGCAATATTTCACACAGATTACAGCTTCACAAAATTAGCACAGCAAAATTAACACAACACAACAGATCAACATACAGCATATGAGACAGAAATAAAAATCTAACAATATTTAAATACCTATTTTATAAAACACTCGTTTTGAGTAGAGAAAGCTTTTCTGAGTGTTCCCCCCAAGTTTTTTTTTAACTAAATACTAAAACTCACCTCCATTCCATCATCGAGTCCATGTTCTCCCCTCAGCCTGATCTTCCATGGCTGATGTCACTTCCCCACGCTGGAGGGAAATTGAGGTCAGGAACGAAGGACTGAAAGGACATGTACTTGGTAATGGAGTGGAGGTGAGTTTAGTGGGAGGACATGAAGGGTGACACCATTTGCTCTCAGGTGCTGGCTGTCAGGGTTCCTTCTGTGGTGACCAGGAATGTCCCACATGGTACTCACCTTTTACAGAAGGAAGTAGGTCCTCTCTAGCACCTCTCTTCTTTCTCCAGCGTTTTTCACGCCAGGCGCGATATAGCCACGCCCCTGTTTATGATGTGTGAGGGTGCGTCAACGTCATGATGTTAATGTTTTACGGCCTGCCAAAATCTTTGGATTTGGGCGTTTTGGGGGGTGGCTACCATTCTAACGAGCCACAGTATAAAAAGGACTCACAGGGTTAGATTCATTGCCCTGTTGTGGTTCATAATTGTTCCCTATAATGCTTTATCTCTATTCATTATTCTAGCTTTTGACTTCAGCTCCGTTTTTGACTACTCTTCATTCTATACTCCTTTGACACGGCCTTAGTATTCTCGTTTATCCTGATCTATGTACTCCTTGACCTCGGCTTAAATTTGACTACTCCTTGTTCTTATATGTTAGTCCGGCCATTCTAAGGTACGGTATAAGTTACCTTTTGTCTACATTCTGCGTGTTGGGTCCCATCCCATTCCTGACACCGGCATTCTGTGTGTGCTGGTATCAGACATCAATTTTGCACAGAATTAAAATTAGCAAGCCCGAAACATTGTTCTGGGTTGAAGAATGACATTGCTGGAGGTGGAGTTATATCTCTGGCAGCTAAGTGGTTAAACTCTATATGTGCAATGTTTCAAAGTGAAACACTGCACATGCAGACTCCAGGCACCATTATCACTTTAAACAAATTTATACTTAGGGCTTTGCCTCCTCATGTCCAGGTTGTCTACACATGGCAATGGGCATGGGACCCTTTACAGTGTGGGAAAGAGAACAAGGTAATGTTATTTTCAGTCTCTCTGCATTAAGCAGATGAACTGTCTAAAATGTCAGCAGAGAAACTCGTTTTTTGTTTCAGACAAGCTGGGAGAGGACCAGCAGTGAATGAATCAGATGGTAAGTGGGATTAATTGTACTATATTTTATGCAATCCAGTGTGAATGGCTTGCAGTTAGAGAAGGAGTAAGCACATACAATGTATATGCAGATGGAATTACTCTATTAAATAATGTATGCTAGCACAGGAAAAAATGTTTAAAATTTACATAGTATATTTAAGCCATTTTACTTTTCTGAGACCAAAACAATGAACACTAGAAAAGAGTGATGTGAATAATCAGACTTACACAGTAGAAAAGTATTGCTAGATGGGATAGTGCTTAAAAAGTGTTCTATGACTTAGGATAATAATGGCTTAAGGACCAAACTTCTGGAATAAAAGGGAATCATGACATGTCAGACATGTCATGTGTCCTTAAGGGGTTAAGGAGACACTAGTTTGGATCCAGTCTATTCTTTTTTAATGGATTTCAGAATAAAATATTCAAATAAAATTATAAAGATACATTTAAATTTGCCATTTTCTTTGTAACTCACTGTGATTTGTAGTTTCAGCAAAGGCCTGCCCAGACCAGGAAATTACTCAGCCAATCATTACTTTCTATGGATGTGCTGCGCAGCAGTGTTTTCTGGACAGAGCAGGGGTTCTGGTAGTGGTGTTTCAATTCTCAGCTTTCCATAGTATTATTGGCATTTAGTATAAAGCTAACAGTTAAACTTTAACGCACAGAAACTATTGTTGGCCAAACTGCTTACACCAGCTACATCGGTATTATTGGAGCACCTGATATAGAATTGGAGACTTATAGAGCTAAACAATTTATTATATAAAAAAGGCTGATTACTACCCATCATTTGTAACCTAACCTTAAAGTTGCACCTATCTTTTGTAGAACCCTGAAGTATCCCTTTAAAATAATCTACGCAATTTGCTTTGGTTACAAGCAAGCTGCTTGATGATCTAAAGATGATGAAACGTTTATTTCCTATTTAAATACATTCTTTGTTTCAATATTGTTGCATAAATTAAGCCTGTCCATTTTCTGTCAATGTAGTTGCAAGAAAATTCTTATTCTACACTAAAAGCAGTATAAGCTTTTACATTACTAATACAATTTTAGGGAGAGCATCAAAACTACTCAGAATTTGCCCAAAACAAAGTAATCACAAGTATTCGTATTTCAGATGGACTGTCTAAAGCAGCATAGTACTGTTACATCCTCATATCTTTTCCGAGTTACTAGGAGCTGGTTCCCAACTTCCAAAATTGTACCGAGGACAAAGCCACATAAATGATGTTCTTACAAAACAATCATTCAGAGGATAACGTAAAACAAAAGATTAATGGTTTAACAAGACTTGTGTACTTTCCCACCATTCAGATAACAAAAGGCACTGTTACTTGGCAAAAGATGTTATAACAGAGCTCTATTGTTAAAGGCCATAGAATTCATTAGTAGATGTGGAACTCTAAAAAAACATAAAGACATTTTGATTACGATCTGTGATTGAGTTTTAATGTATTAGTTGTTAAAAGAAATATCGCTACTGGATGCATTGCTACCAGTCAGCATTTATGGTTACGAGTTTGTCACATGGAACATTTAAAAAATCATGTTCACATTTTTGCTACATATTACATTGACCAATCTAAAAGGGATTGTACTAATGGTTTGGGAAATATTAGTTAAAAATATTCACTTTTTGGGACACCACCTACTTTAAGCTTTACATTTACAAGTAGCGCTGTTTATCTAATGGACAGGAGGACCAATTTATTTTTTCTCTTACGTTTATTCTTTCAATAAATGTGGGTACATGGAAGATTTTGTAAAACAGAAGTGTATTCCAAAGATCTTCATCTAGGTGTGTTATGAAATGCCATGTACATAATATGAAATTTCTAATTAATTCCAGTGCAATATACAGATAATTTGTTATAAAGATTCTACTTTTATGAAAAAAATAGTGAGCCTGTTTTAGACTTGAAATCAACAAACCATTTGTGCAGAATATTATTGTATGACTACTGTGCACCACATCTTCTTCAGGTTCCTTCTATGAAATGTTCATCATTTGTGTATCATTTGGAAGAGAGCCGGGTGATTACTGAAGATGTGGAAATCAAAAGATCTATCTGACTGACCCTTTGTCCCCTCAACAGCTGAGACAGCAGTTGCAGTTGACGGTCAGCAATCCCTTGTGGTCCCAGCACTGAATGTCTCAAAACACTGCTTTCAGACTGGAAGGACTGCTGACTGTAATCTCCACGTGCTCGAGATACAGACCACACAACCCCACCAAACCAATTGTAAGCCTGCTGGGAATGCTTGCACTGGACCACCAGAGATTCCCCCACTCACAGATAAGCAGGAGAGCGCAACATTATTACAGTCACTCCTCATAGTCAACTCACACAGCCACCCACACTCAAGCCACACAACCACCCCAAACACCAATCACAACCACTACATACATTCGCACCCCACTCACAGGTACCATACACAACACCCATAGCTACCCCTCCAACAGCCTATGTGTGTGCGCACACACAAACACACACACACACATTAAACCAATGCTCATATGCTCATAACATACAAAACCCTCCTAAAGATACTGTGCTACAATCAGCCTCCACACATACACGTACAACCCCGTTTGCAACCGTCAACACCCTCGGACTTGTGAGAAAGCAACAGAAGGAAAAGACAGACCAGGAAAATAATAGTGGAAAAGAGAAAGAAAGTTGGAGAGCAGAGACTCATTCAGTGTCGAGACAACTAGAAAGACACTGATAAAAGAAATTGGCAGAATGAAGGAAGAGGGAAATTGACAGAGCGAGAAACTAGCGGAAAAAAAACAAGCAAAGTGTGGCTGAAGGGAGATGTTGGATATATGTAGGGGTGTCAATTCAATTCAAGAAAACCAAGATATTTGCATAGGGAGGTAAACTCCTTTCCAGTGACCTGCATGTAGCACTGTTTTGGATCCAGCACTGTCAAGGCTTGAAGTTTGTTTTAGTGAATTGCCCAGCACTTCCAACCTCTATCGCCAATATAGATCATAATATAACAATTATACCCGTGAAAGGAAACTCAGTTGTATGGATGATTTTGCTGATATCTATCCTAAATATATTAAATGTCTCAGAAGCACCGCTCATTTAGAATTGGGCAATTGAGAAGAACAGTGCATCCCAATAGCCAAAGGACATAGTTGAAGGGTGGAGATATAGTCTGTAATTAGACATTTAATTATTATTGGCAAACTTTATTGGTGTGTACAATGTATAGACGCTCCATTGTACTGCAGTGCACGGCTACATTGCACTAGGCAAACTGGGAGGATAATTTGCTGTGATTACTATTATATTTATTATTATTATTGCAGAGCTGAAAACATAGGTTTCTTGGAGAATGTTTCCCTCAGATGTTTTTGCCTACAATGTGCAGTTTTATGATGAATTTCTGACATTTCACATTTTTGTAAATAAACCTGAGGGTGTTTTTGCGATTATGGGAGGGGTGGCTGTGTTTTTCTCACGAAAAATTTAGCTTTTGGGAAAACATTTAAAATTATGAAATGTAGCTTTCTTCACAGTTTTTTTTTTTTTAAATTGGAAATCTAACAATCTGAAAGTGATAAACCAAATATAACGTCTTTACCGTAGCCCAGTCACATACAGGGCAGGCCTTTATGGTGCGCGAGCAGTGTGGCCGCACAGGGTGCAATGGCGACAGGGGCAAGGGGCAGCCGACACAGCTCACAATAACTAGGTCCGGCACTACCTCAGTGCATCCGCCAGCTCACCTTTAGAGAAGGAGACTTGCGTCTTTATTGGCCGGTGAGGAGATTGAGGATCTCCCTTACTGGTTCTATGTCTGCCTGACATGGAGGAGGGGGCACCTTCGCCAGGTAACACTACTCTTGCGAGCTCTGCATTTAGAAGGTTGCTGCGGGTTACCATTAGCGCAGAGCTCATGAGAATAAGGCTCCTGCTCTGCATCCAGTGAAGATGCAGAACTGAAAGGCTGGCAAAGACCAGAAGGCGATCACAAGGGGATCAGTTTTCCCCCCTTCCTGGCCAAAGATATGCAAGAAAGAGGGGGAGAATCAACTTTATTTTAAAAAGCGAAATTATTAATTAAAAAAATAAAAAATAAAAAATGAATTAAAAAAAATTGATTTGTTCCCACCCCTCATTTAAATGTTATACTCTCATACAGACAAACAATCTCTATCCCATCCACATTGTGTTCCCTACACAAACTACAAAACCTACACACACATTATATCCCTATCCCACACCATACTATGTTTCCTACACAAACTACATAACATACACACACACACACACACACACACACCACATCCCTATCCCACACCACACTATGTTTTCTACACACACTACATCCCTATCCCACTCAACACTCTGTTCCCTACACACACTACATCCCTATTCCACCCCACAGTGTGTTCCCTACACAAACTACACACACACACACACACACACACTACATCCCTAACCCACACCACACTATATTCTCTATACACTACATAAGCTACTTCCCTATCCCACACCACACTATGTTCCCTACACAAACTACATAACCTACACACACACTACATCCCTATCCCACTCAACACTCTGTTCCCTACACACACTGCATCCCTATTTCACCCCACACTGTGTTCCCTACACAAACTACACACACACACACACACTACATCCCTAAACCAAACCACACTGTATTCCCTAAACAAACTACACACACACACACACACACACTACATCCCTATCCCACACAACACTGTGTTCCCTACACAAATTACATAAACTACACACACACTACATTTCTATCCCACACTATACTGTTTTCCCTACACGCTGCATAACCTACACTCACTACATTTCTATCCCACACCACACTGTGTTCCCTATTCAAACTACATACCCAACACACATAAGGCAGGCCTTAGGGTGTGCGAGCTGTGCGGCTGCACAGGGCGCCGTGGCAGTAGGGAGCACCATGCGGCTGACATAGCGCCACATGCCCCGAGTGACTGATGTGAGGAGGTGCTCAGAGCACTTCTATAATGCTGGTCGCGCTGTGTAGCATGGCCACTCGGCACTCGGGTGGAGGACTATCATAGAAAACATCAGGGGGCTGAGCTATGCAACAGGCGGAGCTAAATGCAGACAAACCCACTGCCTGGTAAGTGAGGGGAAGCAGGAAGGACTCCCCCACCTAGCAATACACAGCCCCTGTTCACCCACCTAGCTCTGCACTGCCCCTCCTCCCCCACCTACCCACTGTGCCCCTGCTCCCCCGCCTACCACCACACTGCCCCTGCTCACCAACCTGCTCCCTGCTCCTCCTCCACTTACCACCACTGTTCCCCTGCTCCCCCACCTACCACTACACTACTTCTGCTCTCCCACCTGCCACTACACTGCCCCTTTTCCCCTACCTACCACTACACTGCCTCTGCTCCCCCACCTGCCCACTGTGCCCCTGATCCTCACCTACCCACAGTGCTCCATCTCCCCCATCTGCCCACTGTGCCCCTGCTCCCCCACCTACCACCAAACTGCCCCTGATCCCCAACCTGCCCGATGCTCCCCCTACCTCACTGTTCCCCCTGCTCCCCCACCTACCACTACACTTATTCTGCTCCCCCACCTGCCCACTGTGCTCCTGCTTACAAACTACCCACTGTGCCCCTACTCCCCCACCTGCCCATTATGACCCTGATCCCCCACCTACCACTACACTGCCCCTGCTCCTCCACCTGCCCACTGTGCCCCTGTTCTCCCACCTACCACTACACAACCCCTGCTCCCCACCTACCAACACACTGCTCCTGCTTTCCCACCCTCCTCCACTGTGTCCCCTGCATCCCCACCTTCCACTACACTAACCCTGCTCCACCACATACCACCACTGTACCTCCTGCTTCCCTAACTACCACTACACTACCCTTGCTCCCCCACCTGCTCACTGTGCCCCTGCTCACCACCTGCCCACTGTGCTCCTGCTCCCCCACCTACCACTACACTACCCCTGCTCACCCACCTACCACTACACTGCCCCCTGCTCCTCCACCTACCTCCACTGTGGCCCTGCTCTCCCTCCAGTCCCACTAGTCTAACACCAACCTTACCTTTTTGTGTCATTTTACCCCATTCCCTCTAGCATGTAAGCTCATTGAGCAGGGCCCTCAACCCCTCTGTTCCTGTGTGTCCAACTTGTCTGATTACAACTACATGTCTGTTAGTCCACCCATTGTAAAGCGCTGCGGAATTCGATGGCGCTATATAAAATGGCATAATAATAATAATAATAATAATAATAATAATGGAAAGAGGTAACAGTCTGTCTTTATCTATGTGTGTGTGTGCACGTGTGCCTCCCTGTAACTGTGTACCTCCCTGTAACTGTGTGTGGCTGCTCGCAAATGTGTGTGTGTGTGACTGCTTTCAAATGTGTGTGTAACTGCCTACAACTGTGTGTGTGACTGCCTGCAAATGTGTGTGTGACTGCCTGTAAGTAAGTAAGTGTGTGTGTGTGACTGACTACCTGTAACTTTGTGTGTCTGGCTACCTTTAACTGTGTGTGTGACTGCCTGTACCTGTTTGTGTGTGACTGTCTTCCTATACCTGTGTGTTTGTCTGTAACTGTGTGTTTCACTACATACCTGTAACTGTGTGTGTGACTATGTGCCTGGGACTGTGTGACTCCACAAAAAATACAACCCTGCATTCACACATGGACCTACATGCATATTTCTATCTGAATAAAATATCAATCACAAACAGCCAATAAACCCAGCACAAATATCAAACAAATAAGGAGCTGAGGAGTGCAACTTTATCACAGAACCCTGAGGGGCCCTTTCTATATGATGGTGCTATATAAGTACCATAATAATAATAATAATAATAATAATAATAATAATAATAATATATATAAGATTGGACAGAATCATATATTGTAACAAGATCTTTCAAAACGCATTTAACCATTACAACCTTAGACTGTTTTTGGTTGAATTGTCACACTAACCACTTGCGGATGGTTGCATTAGTGTTGTGATTTTACAGACAAAAACAAGCTTCAGGTACTTATACCTTCCAATCTACACATTCACTGGCAATTCTGTTAAAACAATATATATAAATCGCCTTGTTAAACCTACCCGAACCTTACCTGATCCAAACCTATACATGATATTGATATATGAAAGGTTGCTTGTGTTGTTATTGAGACTGATTTTTACTGCCGTTTCTTTATATTGAAGGAAGGCAGGTGTGCTTTTACATATTCCCCATCTAAAACGTTCAGCTTTATATTTTTGAAATCATTTCTTATTGGTGGGCAGTCTTGACCTATTGCAAGTATTAGCCCTGTAGAGATACTGTATACCCATCTCTCTCTCTATAAAAAAAAAGCTTTCCGTGAATAGATAATTAATATTTTTACCTATTGCCATTCAACTTTGCTAGCTCACATCTTGTTTTGGTTTGGAAGCCATTTTTTTCAGGATCATGTAAATTGCACCCTACACTTTTAACGATGGGGAGATATAACAGCATATGGGTAACATTTACCATAGAAAGCAGTAGAACATTCCATGTCACTTCCATCGGTTTGCATGGGAACTGCTTCACTTTTAGAACTTTACAAACCTTTTCTGTTAGCAACACGTATAAATCCCTATTCCCCAACATCACTGTCTGCTTGCTCGAAGGATCATCAACCAAAGCATATTTGATTAAATTTTTTTCATCTTGACAGTAATGGGAACTCCTTGCGACAGTATCATCATGAATTACATTTTTTGTTTTGTTTTTGTTTTAAGGTTCTGTTAAGGGGAGTTCCCATTAAACTCAAATAAACCAGATGCGCAAACTGCATATCACAGACGTGAAGCTCTTGCAGTCATGTTCTGTCAATCATATCATGTTAAAGAGCAGCACATAGAATTCTGGGATGCCGCTGACAAAGTTCAAACTTTGTGTTTCCTAATGCTATATGAGATATGGATATGCACTACAAAGATACAGACTCTGACCTTTATGATAAGATGGCCATGTACAATTCTCTTTTTTTAAAGGAACACTAAAATCACCAAAACAAGTTTAGTTTAATGAAGCAGTTTTGGTGTATAGATCATGCCCCTGAAGACTCACTGCTTAATCCTCTGCCATTTAGGAGTTAAATCACCTTGCTTATGCAGTCCTAGCCACACCTCTCTGCATGTAACTTGCACAGCCTTCCTAGACACTTCCTGTATTGAGAGATCTAATGTTCAAACTTACTTTTTGCACAGTCTGTTTAATGTAGAATGTCTTAGCCCCTGCTCTGTTAATTACTAGCTAGACATTATAAGAGCCTCCTGTGTGTGATTAAAGTTCAATTTACAGATTAAAACTCCTGAAGTTACATCTGATTGAAAATGAAACAATTGATTTTGTGTAGTCTGTGTCAGTCAGGGGAGGTGTGCAGTGAGACTTTAGAGGCATGCTCTATACACAAAAACAAGTTTCATTAAGCTAAAGTTGTCTGGTGACTATAGTGTCCCTTTAACAATTTAATAGAATTTTCATCTTCAAATAATTGATTTAATTATGCACACTATTATGACAATCAACTCACAATACTTATTCCAAAATATTCTGCCGTAGATTTTTCAAATTGTTCACTCACTGAACTAATCTATAAGAAAAACAAAAACAAGTGTTCCAATTCTTCATCCTAAACACAATTCAGTGACAAAACATGATTCTAAATTGGCATCACACTTGTACAGGTGTACGGCACCCTATGATGGGGGCCATGTGGATCAACAATACACCTAATAATTTAATAATGCAAAGATAACATTCTCTCACTTATGATGCACATTATGACGTTTTGTGTAATTATCAGCTACAAGTACACATTGTCTTTCAAAGTTTACACCTAGAAAAACTCAAAATAGAGAAAAAAAAATTTGTACAAAATGAATCAGCACATTTAATACTTTTATAATTATATTTTTAATTTAAAACCTGAAATATTGAATATATTAAAATAATTGTGTAGCTAAACCATGACTCCATATTTTCAATGCATTATATAGATAAAGCATTCAAATATTATATTAGAAAAAAATGAAACAAAAAACAATCCAATCAGGATTGTGGGGACTGATTATATCCCATCAACCCCTTAAAGGGGTTTTCCTGGCACTATAGTTCCCTGAGGGTGCCCCCACCCTCAGGGACCCCCTCCTGCCAGGCTGGATGGAGAGGAAAGGGTTAAATCTTACCTTTTTTCCAGCGCCGGGCGGGGAGTTCTCCTCCCCTTCGGCTGAATGCGCATGCGCGGCAGGAGCTGCACACGCATTCAGCCAGTCTCATAGGAAAGCATTTGCAATGCTTTCCTATGGACGCTTGTGTGTTCTCGCTGTGATTTTCACAGTGAGAAGCACGCAAACGCCTCTAGCGGCTGTCAATGAGACAGCCACTAGAGGCTTTAGAGGCTGGATTAACCCATTTATAAACATAGCAGTTTCTCTGAAACTGCTATGTTTATAAAAAAAAAGGGTTAATGCTAGAGGGACCTGGCACCCAGACCACTTCATTAAGCTGAAGTGGTCTGGGTGCCTAGAGTGGTCCTTTAACTACAGTGGTTCTCGGGAATACCAGCTCACCCCTGAGTTGCAGTTCCAGTCACCAAATAGGATGATTGGAGCTGCATTATAGACTTACATTAGCTCATACAGGTAGGTACTTTAAACATACTTTATGATATACTCTGACTCAAGGCTTGTTATTCAGAGAACTACATATGACAGTTTTTTTATTTAACTTTTTTGTCCATTTGTTGCTGGTGCAAATAGGCGTGGCCAGATTATCTTTTTCGTCTGTTTCATATGGTAAATGAATATCTAATTTTCTTCACTGAATTACTTGAACATTCACAAATCAGAACAAACATATAATAAAATGTTTACTAACAACAAAGGGTAAAGTAAGATACATTAAGTTGTTATGTGCTCGTGAGAGGTAAATAACAAACAATTCTAGTCCATCTATGTGAAATCTCTAAATAAATTTTCAACCGTAGCTTCAAAATTCTAGAATAAAAAATAATGTCACCATCCAAATCATTCTGTGTACTCTGTCATATCATGGGGACCTTTATACAAAACTAAACACGAATATGTTAAACAGTTAATGTTGTCTTCATTTTTACCTGTTGAAGAGTAAAATACAATCACTTTTCACTTATTGCTCAGCAAATATCTGGGAACAGGAAGCTTTATCATGTCTTTTTAAGGTTCAAAATGTTAAACTCAATATGCCATAAATATTCTTTACTAGTAATGGCTAACTCAGATAGCATTTAAAACAATGCAGAGTAATTAAGTGTAAATCTAATTCATCTTTTGAAATTCCCTGATAACGACTGCATTAGAATAATGAAGCAGCAGATATGTCAAAAGATTTGACTCATAATTTAGTATAAAAAGCAAGACGTATGCAGCAGAAAATCAGAATTAACGTGTTACAGCCTGTGACCAATTTTGAAAAAATGCATTTGTATTTAGTGCCAGATATGCTCGATCCTGTTATGATTCAGAAACTGTTTGGAACATTAACTGGTTGTGCACGCTCTACGAAAAGTGGGCACCAATATTTGTTGGATGCTGGCTCCCATTAAAATGATTAGAATAAAATCTGTTGCTGCACCATTTTACTTGATCATGCACAATGTGAAAGGCGGTGGATTTTTGCCAACTAGCTGCAAGCTTGCTTGGCAAAGGTACAAAAACAAGTGCCAACAGCCTGGCACTGATTTAAGGCTGGGTCACTTTTAAATAAGGAACAAATATGCATGGTGACTCAAAGCAGACAGTCAGCTTCAGGGATGGAGAGGGGATTGTATTCTGGTGACTGCACCAAAACTTGAGCTCTTTGCTATTGTTATTAATATTGGGGGAGCGTTGGTGGATGCGGGTACAGTAGATAAGAAGACAGATGGCAGTGCAGGATTTTAATATTGTTATATGAATATGAGATTGGTTACAATAAGAGATACAGAAAAAGGTAGAGGAGGAAGGGGAGTTGAGATAGAGAAGGAGAGAGGGAAGGAGAGAAGGGAGGAAAATAAGAGGGGGATGAATGGGTGGACAGATGGATAGAAGACAAAAAGAGAGACGACAGAAAGGCAGAGCAGAAAAAGAGACAGGGACAGTGAGAAAAAAGAGCGGGCAGACATAGAGAGAGAGAACACAAACAAAGAGACAGAGAAGAGAGGACGAACAGAAAAAGAAGGGAGAGATAGCAAGAAAGATAGAGGATGGGGTAAAAATGGAGAGGAAGAGAGGCAGTATTTTATATGCCAGTTTAGAGGTCTACCCAAGTAATTTACAATTCTATATAGTTCGAAATATTACCTCAATGTATGGTACAATTTTGCAAGAGAAATCTTCCAGTAGCCACTTCTTGGTAAGTTCGTGAAATATCACCAGAGGCAAGCAGAAGAAAATGATGAGAAAGTCCCAGAAGGCCAGGTTTGCCAGCAGTGAGTTTGATATGCTTCTCATGTAATAATTATGGCAGACTATACACATAACGGCCATGTTACCCATAATCCCAATAACAAATATAATAATGGACAGACACATGACTGCGTAGGCACCGTAAGAATCGTCCGTTATTGGATAAAAAGGGTTTTTTATGTGCGGTCGCTTGTTTGAGGTATTTTTTGGTACCAAAGCTTGATTAATTTCCATATTATCGGAAAACACTTTCACATCATTGGTGGCAATATTGACTGAACCGTTCAAGGCCAGAGAATGGGGCTCTGTCTCCTTGACCGCGTTCTGGTTTTGCAAAGTGTAATTTAAATCCATCAATAATCTATTGTCATCATCGCTTGGGTCTTCTTTATTTTTAGTCCTAGAATTTTCCTTTGTGCCTCTTTTGCTTCTAGCGCCCCTAGAGATGGGTTCATCCTCATGTCCAAGCCTCACCTGCTCAGGTGTGTCACTGAAAGACCTGGTTTGGCGAATAGCCCCAGTTTGCATTTTGGGTGCATTTGTGTCAGTTTGTTGAAGTTCTGCACTCAACACAAATTCAGTCTCAGCAGGACTGTCGGACAGCCCATGTGGCACAGTTATCCTGCATTTACACAGTAGCTTATTTGAAGTCCTTCCAGTGGCAGACTCCGTATAAACAATCTCTGTGCTTCTCCTTATAGGGGAAACGTTGCCAGCCATGCAACGAGGATAAAGGCACCAGTCTGAGTTAGAATCCACATCTTCAATTTTCCTAGTGCCATCCTGCAGCTCCTGGGCATGCAGTAATAAAATGCACACACATAACACAGAAATGATCAGCCTGGGTTTGTTCTGCATGATTATAATAAAGCTTCAGCTATAATAACAGTTGTAATAAAACAGGAAAAATGCATTGGGAGTTTCAGGCATGTCATCTGACCCCACCTGAGCCAGACAAAAGCAGCAGAACAAATGGACACCTTGCAGTGTCTTTTAAATAAATGACACAGCTAACAGAATCAGGTTTCAGCTTTTTACAATGCCCAGGAAATCAATCCAAATGGCACTCACTCTGCACCCTCTCACCCTGATACTCAGCCAGTTAAGTAAAAGTTAAGGTCCCCAATGTCACAGAAATCCCAGGGCTCCACCCTATCTGTGCCAATGTCTGCACAAACTGTTGGGTTGGTTCATTGTTGCTCATTTAATCTTTGCTTCTTCTATAGAGAATCCTGTGTCTTGTTGGAGAGAAACCACGAATGTTCCCTGTCTCCTCTCCTTGTTAATCCCAAATGAATGTAATCCCTCCTTGGAGTAAACAGGTTGCAGCCTTGCCCTCAGTGCAGATTAAGTGGTGTTGGACATGGTTAGAGAATGACAGCCTCAGGGAAGGCAGATTACTAGTTACTTGCGATGTATCCCTTTGTTTTGAGCTGGATACAGTGTTTGTGCCCTGGCCAGCAAGGTTTGGATGCAGGAGAGGGACCCAGCCTGATCTCCCTGCCTGCTCTGTGAATGCAGTGTAGGGATGATGAGCCCCGCCTGTAGGCTTTGTAAGAACACACACTGCGCCTGTGTGAGCATGACAGTCTCTCCCCTCCTTCTACACACTATCTCCCCATCTAATGTAGCTGCAAGCAATTATCACACCTTGCTGTGCCTCCATCCTCCTGTGTCTGGCCCTGGGTGCAGGAAAAAGGTGTTGGCACAAGCATTGCAGTTATTCACATTGGAGATCACAGCATTTTCTAGTTTGTATTAAAAGAAGAAGCTAATTGCACTGAGTGGAAGTAAAGGTTTTGTTCTGTTTGGCTCAGTATTACCAGCACTTAAGCTGACACAAAGACTGTGCAGGAGGAGGAGGGGGGGGAATGCAGGGAGAATGGCAACTGCTAATGCTGCAAGGGAGATGTAGAATTGGGAGGCTGTTAGGTAGAGGCAGCTGTGCTTCCTGTGATACAGGGCTGTAAGCTCTCCTTCTGGTAGAAACAAGGAGATGCAGAAGGTAGAGAGGCTCCTTCTAACAATGTCTGGCAATGGACTCATCCAGTGTGAATGCAGGTCCAGGGGGGTGGATAATGGAGAGGGGGCATTGGAACCAGGAGGAATATATTTTAACAATGCTAATTAATAATTTAGCATTGGGATCAGAATCTAGAAACCTGTAACATTCACTGACACAATAAATTATAGATACAAATCAATTTTAAACCTGAATACCCAAAGGCATTGTTAGTGCCCAATCACCTCAATATAATTCATTTGGTGGACTACTAGGGAATAAAGAACCATGTAAGGCAGTTTGGCACATCAGATGTTTGTGAACTGCAATTCCCATAATGCTACTGGGAAATGTAGTTTAAAAATATCTGGAGTGTCAAATTAGCCATTACTAATCCAGGGCACAGATAAAATATAAATAGACCAATACGGGTTCGGTCATGTGTCTTGTAAAGTCACAGATACATAGCCTGCTTATCTGCCATTAAAATGTCACGATGTCTCTATAAAGAGGGTCAGGTCACCGATACATGTTAACAAGTACATCTATCAGATGAAGAGATAACATTCTATTATAGGCTTGAGGATCTTAGCAAGTGGCGGGCTACATGACTTGACCAGAGAGCTCACAGTTTAATTTTGTAGACACGGACAAATCTTTAACTTGGAACATAGCTTAGTTTGTATATTTAGCTAGCTGTAAATATTGATTACATTAATTGTATTATCTACATGGAGGTTTTGTTTTTTTAAGTATAGATGGTCAACTGTAAAAGGACAATAATATTAATGCATTTAGCTTTAATAGAAAGCAGCACACTGACAAGTTTGAATATGTTTGAAAAAAAAAAAAGAGTGGGGACATGGCCTGGCCTGCCTGGGATTAGTGGATGTTGCACTTCTGGGCAGCATCTGCTGCTTGAACCTCCTCCCCATTAATATCATCCTTATGGAAATGGCAAAGGAAAAGGAGGGACTGCAGAGACAGAGACAGTGTGATTCTCTCCAGCTCCTTTCACAACCTATCACTGAAAGGATAAAAGCGGAATTAAAGGGACACTATGGGCACCCAGATCACTTCAGATCATTGGACTGGTCTAGGCGCAGTGTCCCTGTCCCCTTAACCCTGCAATGTAAAAAGAGAAACTGCATAGTTTTCATTAAAGGGTTAAGACTGCCTCTAGCCACTTGAGACGTTTTCTGCAGTTTCACAAAGTTTAACTCACATCACACCCTGTTTCCCTCTCTCCAGTTGTCATAACTACTAAACTCAGAGTCTAATAATATTCTAGGATGTGTGCACCTGTGGCCCACCGAAGAAAGCCACCTTAACGTAAAGGACAAATTCTTCATCATCAGTGAAGCTATGACAAAACATCTAAAGACATTTCACTATTAAGGGGACATCTTGAGATACTAATTCAGAATGGCTGATTCAAGATGACATTTTTTATTTTCGGGAGCTTAGCAGCCCCTTCTCACCGAGACGGGGATAAGATTCTCAATATGTCATTGAATTATGTATCAATTGGTTGGTAAATTTACACGTCATGTAGGTTTGAAAATAACAAACACAACACAAACAGACCTGGAATAAAAGAAAGGTTTAGTATTGAATTATAAATCTGATTGCATACATTACACACAAAGAAAATCTCCTTGCTATTATATATATTTAGATTCAAATCACGGAAAGCAGAGGAAGCGGGATAGAATAACAAGGGCAAATGTAACTAATATAGTAAATATAATTGCGGTAAACCACAGAGAGACACATAATATATAATGTTTCCAATTTTGCTTGATGCATGGGATTGCTTATGTAAGTATAAGGATTTCACAAATAAAGAAGAACATTTGCAGAATTGAAAGATTTGAAATACGAGTACTGTAAGGGAGTGTATATAGTATATTACAAATAGATATGTGTCAGGTATTAAAAAGGCCAAGTTCGAAGGAGATTACAGTCTGGAACCGGGTGAACATAGGTAATGAGTAGAAAAAAATACGTAAAATATACTTTTGAATTTAGTGGGGGTTTTTTTTGCTGCAAATCCCAGGGTTTGCGGCTTCCTGCGGCTAGATCTGAACAAACTAGGATGTAGGTGACACCTGCCTGACTGTCACTGCTTTCGTATCGCTTTAAATCGGGATAATGAGTATATCTCGGCCATAAACCATTCCCTTGCAGAGATTTATTGAATGTCAGAACCTCCATTCCTCATATAAAATAAATGAACCTTATAACTAAGCTGATAGCAACCGCAACATGGATCTTTGGGGTACTGATGCCCCAAGGTAATTTGGGGGGGTGATGAAAAGGGAGAGACCCCCCAGTTATGAAATGCACACAGTGTACAAGCGCTTGCACCCTTACAGCACCATGGGGGTTATATAAATAACTGATTGATGAATTGGTTTAGTTATTGACAAGAATATCCTACAGCTAACTGAACGTTTAACTATTCTGTGCCCAGGGAATGGGGGTAATTTTTACAGACATGGCGTCTGAGAAAGAGAACTAAAATGGGTTAAAAAAAACATAGGTGAGGAGGCAAAAAGATATTGGGGAGAGGAAGGATGAGATTTAAAGGGTCACTGTAGGCACTGTATGTGCTTCATTTAATTAAATAGTCTCTTAAGTACCCTCGTGCCATAATTTCATTCAGCATTAAACATGTTTTAATTTTTTTATGTTTTAAAGCTAAATTAAAGTCCGCAGCAGGCCCTTCCCCTCTGTGCCGCATTGGTTAATGAGGAAGTATTAGTCTGGGCAGCAAAGGAGAGTTTTGATTGGATGAATGTGTCAGCTGACTGTTTTTAGCCTATCAGAGCTCTAACCAATGGTATTAAAGGTATGACTACAAGGACAGTGGTGTATTTAGGATTTGTGCTTCCCTAGGCAGGACGGTGCTCGGGCCCCCCCTTAATTAAAATTTTCCAAACCCCTTCCGGTCAAGGCCGCACTTTGACTTACAGACGCACACACTCACTGATAGATGCATACACTCACTGACAGACACACACTCTCATATACACTGACAAACAATGACAAACACACACACACTCACTGATTTGACATACTGATAGACAGACACACACTATTACTCGGACACACACTGACAGACGCACACTCTCACTGACAGACGCACTAACTCACTGACCGAAACACACAGACACACACACACTCAGAGACACACACACAGAGACATTACCACCAACACTCACAAATTATTATTTTTTTTATTTTAAATCCACCCAGCCTCCCTGGGAGAGCTGGAGTGGATTACTTACCTGCCAGTACGGCTGCTGGTCGGGCAGGCAGGGGGCGACAGGCTGAGTAGGCGGTGAGGGAGCTCTGATTTTCCTGCTCAGCTCCCTCGCCCGCTGCTTAGTGATGCCGAGAGCCGGTCTGACATCATATTCCAGCTCCCGGCTTCATTAATTTGCGCGGAGGGAGCTGAGCAGGAAGAGCTCAGGTGAGCATGCTCCCTCGCTGCCCGCCTTGGGGGGGCTAAAAAGTGGCCAGCTCTTGAGCCACCAGGACACAATGCAAAATAGGGATCTGCCTGGGCTTTTGGGGGCGTCTTTTTTACCGCCCCCTGCAGAAGACACGTCCCTGTACAAGGATGTGTGTAATCTCTGCCTTAGCCACATCTCCAAAAGGGGCCGGACTGTGGGTGACCAGGGAGCCTTATTTAGTTTAAAACATATCTAAAATGGTTTAACACTGACTGGAGGTACAATGCCAGTTGACTCCATTCACTATAACCAATTTAAAGAGATGAAATAGTTATAGTGACCACAGTATCCCTTTAAGACGGAATTGGAGCTGAGAGAGTGGGGAACAGAGGAAG